ACCAATGTAAGAGTCAATAGTACTTCAACGTCAAGATAATACATTTTCCCTCAGTAATATGATCTGCCAATACATATATGTTTCAGTAGCCTATAGTTGTTTTGTTTAAGGACGTCTTAGGAGATTGAAACCTACAGAAAGAGAATTTCCTTAAAACATGTTCTGCAGAACTTGGTTAAAAAAATAGCCAGTGCTGGAAAACAGTGAACTAGAGAAATAAATAATTCAACCACTGTACTACAGCTCCTGCCCCAATCTCTCTATTTCCTCAATGAGGAAGTCAATGTCAGACTTCGTTGCTGCTGGGTTTGAGATGACCATTCGGAAGAAGTTGACTTTATCACCCTGAGGCTGATATCCAACCATGGTAGTACCTGACTCCATCATCAGTGCTTTGATTTTCGGTGCCACCTTTATCATTTAAAAAAAAAAAGAAAAAGGAAAAAAGAAAAAAGAGACTTTTTAAAAAATATATCCTTTCTTTGTATGTCACACCTCTTAATTTGAGTAAAATAAATGGTCAGATCAGAAAGGCACTAGTTTTTATAAAAAAAGATCTGTAACAGAAAAAGCTTGAAAAACTAAATATGTAGGATTCGATATTTAAAGGAAAATTGACAACAATAATGTCCATCTTTTTGATTAATAGTCTAATTGCATCATACAGTATTCACTATGTAACAATTTTATATATTAAATACACGTCATTTCTTTCTGCTGAGGATTTCATCATGAAGAAATGTTTTCTGTCTTTTTATGAAAACCTACTCCAGAATCACATTTTAAAGGTAACAGAAGTTTTCTGTGAGAATATTCTATGAGAATATTCTCAAAGTAATTTTCAGGGGGGGAACAACAACGATGGAAATTTTTCAACAAGATCTATGTCATAAATAATATTTTGTGTTAGCATAAACCATGGAAAACTTCCAGTAGTTTTCCAATACTGTACATTTACCACAATCTCGCTTCCTCACTTTAATTTACAAGGAATCATGTTGTAACAATCTTAATATTTGGTATTGACTGAGCCCAGTTTTTCTAGTCAGACCTTCTTTCTCCTACTCTACTCTCTGCCAGCCAAGGTCAGATGTCTGGCTCTTTTACTGTTTTGCAGGATGCTTTACAACGTCCTCTAACATTTAACAGGGTCAAGTCAAACATTTCATCCTTCTTACCAGTCTTATCTATCTTCCTCTTTTCTCTCTTTTTTGGCAATTTCTTTATCTAACATGTCACTGGGTTGACCCAGGAATTTCTATTCTCTTCTGTTCTCTTTCCTCAGTGTGATGCTGACACAAAATCCTCTACAAAACCTCCCAAGTTTGCCCATTCTTCTCCCTTCCCAAACATAAAAAATTGCAATTCATTTTGACAACTGTAAAATCATTCTTTTGTCTCCTGAATGTATTTCATTACAGTTCTGTCTGTCTAAAATGGTACTGAAATTAATCTATTTCACTTCCCTCAAGTCCTAAGTAACACAATACTTTTCCTGGTGGTACCTCTACAATGCGTTCACTTCCCTCTATTATTTCTTCAACTAAATTTATCCCAAAGTCCTCCAAAGGGTATTAATTTTCACTGAAATGCATTAATACATGACTAACCAAGCACATTTAAAATCAAAATAAAGACCTGAGAAGGACTTCAAGGTTTCCATGTCCTTTACCTGTCCCAGCATTTTCAAATAATTGCCCTTCTGTTTCTCTTGCTGATATGCTGTTCCATTCAAACAGAACTGGGACATCTTTGTGCCTAGCTACTTTTTAAAGATTCCTAAGATTTTTGGGAGCACAGAAGTGATACAAAACAAAGAATAACTAAGTATGTTCTGTATCTCATTCTATAGGGAAAATGTCACTTCAGCCTCAGTATAAATAGGAGACAAAGGTGAACAAATATCAAGGTCATAACAAGCAATTGGAGAGCTGGTGTCCCAGAATTTGGATCATGTGTCACCACATATATTTATTATTTTTAATAAACAGAATACTTTGAGTTGAAAAAGTAGACTATACTTTTGCATTTAACAAAAACCACATACCCTATGTAACTTTTCTCTTCTCTCATCACAGTCTGGCATGCCCCGGAGACTTGGCGGAATATACCAAAAACATACATTTGTATGCTCTGGCTGCAAAAAGAACCAAACGCATACATCAATAAACAAAATAATACAGATCAATTACACACTAAAGGCTAGTCAGTAGCATATTTTAGCACAGATGTAGAATACAAAACATAGTATTAACTTTGCTAGTTCTGCATGTTAAAGCAAAATAAATGGATTATAGTACTACTGGTTGCATCTGCTGTCTTAGATTCTCTCCATATTGTCCCATTTACAATGTTTTAGGGTGCTAATGAAGTGCAAATGCTTTTCACCTTTATGCAGTTTTATGAGCAACAGTTTCCCAGGATTGCAGCAAGGGCAACCCGATTTTCCTTTTCTTAGTAAATGGAGAGACAAAGTATATTTGTTATTCTATCAATCAAAAGGTTATGCAGTGGCACTAGCAACTGAACATACAGGAAAAATAGCAGATTCTCAGTTATGTATGTTATAATGTGGAATCTCTGCATAAGTAGATTGTATTAAGATAGTCTTCATGCCCTAAACTGAGAAGTCCTCTGCAGAAGAGGAAGAGATGAATCTGACATGCATTTGGCCAAAAGACTGCCCAGACGCCAATAGTCATGTAGTTCTTTAGAAAATAAAAGCAGTTTTGCATAGCTGGCTTGAAGAACTGTGAGAAGTGTGAAGACTGTTTTCAAAATTCAGATTTGGCTCCTACACACAGGCTAAATGGAAGAAAACTTACCTCCCCTTCAAAAACCATTTCAAATTCTTCTCTGTTTTTTATTTTAGTGTAGAGATATTCTGCCAGCTCCAGGCATTTGTTGACCTGATTTTCAAATCCTACTGTACCCTGTTTTAAAAAGAAAATAAGTATTAATTATATGGTCATTTTTCTTCCTCCGTTGCAATCATCTTTTCAGATAGGCTTCACTCTTAAATGTTTTCAGTCAGAAAACATTTAGCAGTATTATTTCTTGTAATTTAAAAGTAAAGTTAATCAACACTACAAAAATGGCTAAATGTGGCCTAACTGTAATCGCTATTTGGTTTTGGTCTTGTTTTAAGAGAATTTATTATCATAATAACAAGGGCTTTTGATATTTTTAATCAATTATTTTTAGCACTTTTTTTTCCTGTTTCCAGAAATATTATATTAAGTCTTGGCTTCCCAGCTCTTGCTGAAAGACTAGGAACATGGAATGGGAGCTCAGTTGAAAGGGTAAGACTTGGAAAGTAATTTATTTCCTCTGAACAGTTTGCTAGAAATTTGCATTTAAAAAAGTCAGCAAGCAAAAGCTTGCAGTATGTTTGCTAAAAGTCGTTTGTCTACCCACTGATCTTTTGTCCTATCTGATTTGTTTTGAAAGATCGCAATCCCAGAAAAAGTAGATTAATGTTGATAATAAATAAAATTAAAAAAAAGTGTTGGGGTTTTTTTGAAGTACACTTTGCACGTGAATGAAGAAGTAAGAAAGACAAGTACACTCTTAAATTATTGGGGTAAGTTCTCTGTACTAAATAACATGACTGAAGGTAAAGTCAGAAGAATACTTCTGGGCCTAGGCTGTATATTTCTACTATGAGGACAAGAGCATGATCACTCATGGTGGCTAATGCTGAAGGAAAAATTTCCATAGCTCCTAATATTTTTTCTTAACATTTCTGTAATATAAACATGCAACCTGCTAGAAACAGGTTCTATCCAATACCTCAGAGAACTCAGGTCCAAGAAATCTGAATCTCTCTCAAGACCAAACAGAAATCCAAAGTAACTAATTTTTGGACTTTTTTTTTCCCCACTTTTTTTTCCCATTGTGAAGTGCTCTCCTTCTTTAGCGAGGTCAGTTTAACAGGTGAATGTAACAGCAGAGGTAGAATCAGCATGCTAGTTTTAACAAAATGTGTTCGGCTGGTATTTATAAAAATGTTCAGTCCATGCTTTAATGGCGTCTGTAGTCAGCACCTGGTAATTAGAACCATAAACAATACACTTCAAAGTTGCTAGTCACAGACAGTTTCTAATGTGTCATAAGCAGTTTCATGTTACTGGATTACAGTACCAAAATGATTTATTTTGGAGGAAGAATTGAGTCTGAACTGAAATGTACTTAGCCTGATAATCAAACCCATGCTGATTATAAAGTAATTGTTGTAAGTATTTTGCGTTGAAATATTGTGTTTCTTTCTCTGAAGTACTTTTTAAAATAAACAATGACAACTCTACAATCTGTTTAAAAGTAATTGTATATCTAAAGTTCTGTTACTTTCTTCCCTCAGTCTTCAATATTGAGGAAATCTGCATGAAAACACCTTTTATCATCACAGGTTATTTACTATTGGTGTCTAATTCCCACCCAAAAGTGAAAACTGTTTTGTGATTGTACATTTTGCCATTAGATTTAATCTCAGTTTTGTAAAAAAAGATTAGACTGTGGACAGGTTACCCAACTGAATTCCCATCTTGTCAGCAGAAGAGCAAGAAGAATAGTAATAAGATGACTGCAAATAAAGCAATAAAAATGAAATGTGTCTTCTTGACTACATGGACTCTTATCTTGTAAACACATAAGCCTGTACGTAAGCTCATGCTTGCATTCAGCCATCCAGGCATACCGCAGTAGTAGCAGGGAATCAACTGTAAAATCATCAGTTGGGCAAAGCTTCTTAAGAAAAAGGCTTTGTTTTCAAAGTTGCTTATAAAATCTATGCATTGAAACATGATACTCAAAGAACCCTTGTAAGTCATCAAGTCTACTCTGCTACCACTATAAGTAATCTGTCATAAAATAAATATGTAAGTGTATTTCAGTGTCCTGCCCTCACTGGTTTTACAGCAGGACTCTCTTACTGACTTAAACGTTTCTTCTAATTTCCAGCTGAATTTATTGATGGCTAACATTATACTACAATTCAAATGGCTCATTTCTGACTTAATACTCAGATACCTGTGTGTTTAGAGATTGTAATTACACGAACATTTATGTTAAAAAGAAGTGTTACATTATATGAGATTTATAAATTAAATACATTTCTGATTTTTCAACTGAACTTTTATTATTTACCTTTGCCTTCCACATCAACCAGAATTTGAAGATGTCCACATGTCGACCACACTGTATTGCCTTATCTCCCGTGTCATAGGATACATCATACTGTTTGTCTTGCTGGAAGAGATAGCCTGCACACATTTGATTGCAGCCTTGAAGTATACCCTGTAATAAAATCCATGTACTTATATGGTATATGTGCATATAAAACTGTATGCATTAATAATATATTAAAAATGTATTTCAAATATATACAGAAGACTTGTTCCCTAATGAGCCAATGTTTCATAAACCTGAGCCACAAATATAATTTCATAACCTAAGGTGGTTCTCTTAGAAGTCTCTGAGTAGTCATGTGGTTTTACACAGCCACACCTGAAAAACAATTCTCAGATTAATTTGGATTCTTGATACTAACTTTGTCCACTTCACTTTGTAAGGCTATATAAAACTTAATTTTCTGATGTGTTAAATTACACGGTAGCATGAGGCTGTGGCCTCTCAGTGCAGCAAATAGTTACAGAAAATTTAAAAAAAAAAAAAAGTAATTAAAGGCTTCAACTTTATATATTGTCCAGCTATTTGACACTTAACATTGGTGATAAATATAAGTACAAATGACCTAAACTACATATTTTTTGCTTACAAATAAATATGGTCCACAGACCAGCAGAAACCGACAGATTACTGGTAAACATCTCCAAGGGAAACACAAGGAGCAAATTCCTGTATGTTACACAGGAGTCTTACATGTGACATTTCTTAAATGGTTTGCATCTCCTTTAGAGTTTATTAGTGGTTCTTTGAAGAACTCAAAGACTCTGGTGTGTCTGATAAATACAAAAACACCTATGAAAGTTCTCATTGGGAAAATAAAAAATGTCACCAAAATCCTGCAATAGTTAGCATGATAAGCATGCATGCCACTAAATAATAGCTAGTGCTGCCCTCCAACAGATGTCAAAGTGTTCTATAAAAGGAAATAAAAGCTGCAGTCTTCAGTTTAGAAATGGGTCACCTGAAAGCAATGGCAGACCTAGGGCTGGAACCCAGAACTCTTACATCCTGGTTCTGTCTATGCACAAGGATCACAGATGACATGACTTTTCTTTTTTTTTTTTTTTTAAAAACTTTTGTTTTGTTTTTTGTTAACATCTAAGGAGAATACATATTACTTAGACGAATTAAGACATTGGTCTTGCTTTTATTGATGACAATGAAGAATCTAGAAGAAAGCCCTAAAAATACATATAGAGTCATAATAAAAGCAGCATGCTTTCTTTTCAACAAAACTGAGAAACTTTTAAATCACTGTGTAAGGTAAAAAAGTTGCTTTTTATTTAAGCAGTTTAGACTGTGACTGATTACTATGACCAAGGGTGTATGTTCAGATATCATAGAAACAACAGAGCAGATGCTCAGATGAAGTATATTAGCATGGCTCTAATGTTATTAGAATATGCAAACATTCAACAGCTAAAGATCTGATCCATATTGTCTACAGCTTTACACACAGACACACAAAAGATAAAACAACTTCCTGAACACAATGTAAATCCATACAATTATTTCTTCCAAAAGAAGTTTTGAAATTAAATGGATTTTGCACTACTCTCTTACAAAGTAGGGCTTGATATTTACTTTTTCTTTTCTTTCTTTTTTTTTTTAACTGCTTAATTATTAAATATAAGGCAGACCTTCTCCCGGACAAGAATGGCAGAACATTGTAACAACACTCCCATCATCTTGTGTGGATTCCAAGTGACTGAGTTGGCTCTGCAAAAAAATGACACATTCAGACAGATCACGAAAACAGAAACTTAACCTGAAGCAGTCAGCTTTGTTTTCTGCATTCAGCTGGAAACATACGGACTTTTGACCATGATGATTTCACTACGGAGATTATTACTGTCTCAAGTGTCTTCTTTCTCAGCTATACTGTCCAGGAAAGGAATTTTTTGCACGTTAACAATGCAATGTCAGACTTCTAATTAGTGTATATTATTACTAATACCAGCTAATTAGTGTCAGACTATGCTGAATAGCTGATATAGTAACTTGATCCCCAGAAGACTCTGCTTCCAGAAATAGCACTAATAAAACTAACAAAAACAGTTTGACAGGTTATATCAATTCAAGGTACTGATTGGGGAGGGTGTCAGAGAATTAAGGAAATAATGTGAATTCTGGGAGAATACAATTCTTTACTGAACAACTGCTGGAAAAGTAGAAAGCAAGGGAAAAGACAGTCCGCATGCTCATCTGCTTTTCCAGTTAGAGCCATAAGAGGCCTTTTCTATACTAGCTTGTCAAGCCCATGGACCATTAAAAGGCAATAAAACTTAACATCACAATCCTACCATTCTGTATGTAAAGCTTAAAACTTTTTATGTGTAAGCACAGGTGGATATTAGATACCTAATTTACTAGCCAAACAGATGAGATGTTCTGTATTTTTAACATATTATCCTAGACAGATTAATGATAATGCTAAAATAAATGTGCCAACGTTGCACATGCATTGACCTCTTCATCCTAAGTAATTAATTACCAAATGTCCCCTTGATTCACTGTGTGTTCCACAGAAGGAAAGTCTATAATCATATTTCACAGACTATGTGTATGTTCTTACAATGTGGTTGAAGGAAAATTCAAAGATATTTCCTCTTCTTCTACACCCCATTCTCAGACAACACACACACCCCCACAGTTCTTCTGTTTTAAGCAACACAATGACTTCTTCACCCCAGTCTGAGGACCACTAATTCCATAAAAATTCCAGATACGATTCCAACCCCTGTCTGCACTAGGTTAGACCATCGCATCCCTCAGCCAAAAGAACAGTGCAGCCTGTGCTATACCTGGGGCGCTCACCATCCCTCCAAAAACTCCTGCTCAGGCGCTACAAATGAGCGGGTATATAGCTCAGACTTAGGAGACAATTATCTTTTAAAAAAACTTCACTAGTAGTTCAGATGGAGTGGTCAAGCAGGAGGAATTTATGTAACAGCTCATTTCCTTGTGAGAGTGCTATAGTTTTGGTTTAGGACATTTATTTAACTTTCAGGGTTCTGAAGACAATTTCAAGTCATTTTCGCAAGAAGCATTTGATTTGTTTTGACACGAAGACGTCACTTTCTACCCTGCACAGCCAGCCAGCCGGAGGCTATCCTACCAGAGGCAATCCCAGCTCTGTATGGCGGCACCAAGCCAGTCGCTACATGCCCACGTCTTCAGGCAGGCTGAATCTGGCCCGAGTGTTAGCAATAGACCCCAGCTGGGGTCCGTGACAGCAATTACACAGTACACATGGGCCCCGTCCCATGTTTGGAGATACATACAGCTGACTAGAAAAGAAATTATATCATGCTTTGTGGCCTGCTACTTTCTCTATTTGCTTAAGGTTATGGTCTTAATTAGCACCTCTGGGTTGACCTCAGGTCAAGAGAGGTGTGCCAAACTACTGTGACCAAACCTGTGTTGCTTAAGGAAATTATTTTACAATGCTGACCTCGTATTGGACATGTTGCCATAACATGAGTGACTTGCAAATTGGATTGGGCAGAGACTGATACGATTCTGTTACTTGAGGGTACTCCTGCCACACCACACACTGCTGTCCCTGCAACAGAAGGGTCCACATGATTTTCCTACCAGGCCTTTCCTACCAGGGCAATTAGTCCTTTTCAGCCTTACAGGTACTGAAATTTGCCCCTAAAACTTGCTCCTAGTTCAGTCTCTACCATATGTTCCTCTCTTTGTTGTATACAAATATATATTTATGTGTCTGTATATATAAATAAGCAACAGAAAAGCAAGCGTAAATATATATTTATAAATGTTCATTTACAGAACACTCATTTTCAGAAAGCACATATATTCTTTGTATTCTGGAAATAAATGCAAACACCTTTCAGGAGATAATCTCTACAAATTCCCACCATGTCATGGCTTCCCATCATAGATACTCATGCATCAAACATCTTCTCTGGATTCCTCATTTCTCACTGCTATTCTCAAAGCCCTACATTTCAGAGATAGTCTAGTACTCTCACTTCATTTTTTCCTTAAATTCTTCTTCACCCAGACTTATGATCCCCTCAAAGCTATGCATAGAACAGTCTCCCTTTTTGCCAAGCAATATCCTTGTCCTCCTTCACATCTGCTGAAAACTTACTTTTCACTCAGCTGTACATCGCTGTTTTCCTTCTGTAGTATTGTTTCAATCTTCCTAGTGTGAACCTTTCCTGTCTGTCTTGCTTTTGTTTAATTTAACATTTAAAATCCTTAATGCAGCAAATTGATCTTTTAATGAATTTGTGAAGTGTCATGCACCTGATGAAAGTACTTTAATAACAATATTACAAATAAGCACCATGTAGTACCTTTCTATTCCATTCAATTTATGACGATGCTTTCGGGACATTAAGAGTCCACCTCCCCAGGCAGCCTGGAAGAGATAGAAAAAAAAGACTCATTGTTTTGGAAAAGCCTAACATATTTTAATTTACTCAGGATCTCAGGATCTAGTAAATATTTTAATTCAAGACAAGACATGTGTAAGCAAAAAACCTCTTTTGCCTGAATAATAGCACTTCATTTAGTTACTTACATCTACATGGAGCCAGAGGTTGTATTTTTCACATATATCTGCAATCTCCTGTATTGGGTCAAAGGCTCCGTATACTGTTGTGCCTGCAGTAGCATTTACAAAAAGAGGAATGTATCCCTATAATAAAAATAAAAATATTAAATACAAAATCCAGCCTCTTTCAGGGGGAAAAAAAAAAGAAAAAGTTAAAATCATTTTAGAAATGTTGCTATCCCATTTTCTAGCCTAAAAATGTTTTTCTTCCCATGTGAAAGGTACATTTAAGCAACAGTAGAAACTACCAAATTGTATATATGGTAGGAACAAACTCTGTTTTATTCTACTGTAACTTCACAAAATTTACTAGTCAAAAGGTAAATAATATTATTTTGTCTAATCTCTTTCAGTGAGGAGATGCAAACATTCTAGTAGAAGACTAGTGATAGTCAAGTAGAGACTTCTACAGCAGTATAAAGGAAAATTAATTAAATGTGATTTGTAAGTTGTGATTTGAAGGCTTGAAGTTGTTTCTTTAGTCTTTATCTACTACCGAACAGAACAAATCAGTACAAAGCAATCCAAAATAAAAGCAATAAATGTGGAACTATCAGATCAAAGTGAGACAATTTTGAATTAGATGAAATAAATGTGAACTGCATTTTCATAGAATGCCCAAATATAATGAAGTAAAGAAATAAAAAAATAATAATCTTGACTGCTCTAACTTTGGTGGCTTTATACAAAATTAATGGATTTTTCATTCCATTGATTCAAGAAATAGCAATGAATGCCTCAAAAAATTGAACTTACTGGCTATATTTACTAACTCTGTAGCCTTGAAATCTATGAGATTTTTTAGGACTAAACTTCAACAGAATTTTTGATGGTTTTGGATAAACTTTAAAGTTTGGATAAAAGTATGTTAATTTCATGTTTTCATTCTTTTTTCCATATATTTCCAAACAGAATGTCATAAAATACAGATGCGGTTCAAGAGTTAAAAATATTTTGGTTTTAAACAGTAAATGGAAACCTTAGCAAGACATATAGATAATTCCCTAAACAATACATGAATGTGTAATTAAGCAGCTGAAGATATTATGATAACATTTATAGCATTTTAATGTCCTATTTTAATGTTAACCCTCAGCCTTCAAAGGAAGACGTAATTTTACCAAGCTAAGCATTTAAGTACTAATTTTTAAAAACACAAACCTTTTGTTTTGCTTCCAAAATTTTTGCCTCCAAATCAGCTGGTATTATTTTGCCTCTGTAATTATTGTAAAAATAGAAAGACAAAGAAAATTAAAGAGTGCGTATGGAAATACTAGCTACAGTTGAAATAATTTAATAGGATTTTCTCAACAGGCCATTAGCAACTTGACACACTGTACTGAACCAGTCCTTAAGCACAATACAACAAATTTAACAGATGAACACATTTAATACATCAAAACCTTAACATTCATCCTACCTTTCATTGCATTTTATCAAAATCACATTATCTGTTCCAAATCCAAGCGCAGCTCCAGCTTTCTTTATTGAGTAGTGACTCTGCAGCAAAACATATGCACGTTTAATGGAGTGGTTGTTTAGTGAAGAAACATCTTCACAACATACATCAATAAATTAAGAATTAGCAGCATATTAAGCTTACGTGTTCCGAGGTAAAGAGAACCAGTTTAGGGACTGCAGCCATGCCTTTGGTTTTGACTTCAGGGAAGTACTTGTACCGTGCAGCCATTATGCTGTACATGTTGGAGATAGCTCCTCCTGTGAATGAATAAATGAGTGAATAACAAAATAGTGATAATGAGAAAAAAAGCCTATTAGACCAAAGACATACAAGTCTCATTTGCATTATGTAGTGAAAGTGGCAGTGAACTATAAAAAAAAAAATCTCTGAAATACATCTGTCTAAACAGTGTAGGGACAGACCCTCTAGAAAGTCATACTGATAGTTAGAATTTCCTATCCATCATCGCTTTCAATTGTTAACATTTTGTAACACACCCCTAAAAAGTTCAGCTTTCATTGTGCTGCTTTTGCACGGTAAGTTCTTGTTAGCAAGAATAACAGGAACTTACCAAATTGTCTGAGACTGAAGAAATGTTGCATACTGGATGGATTTATCCCATCTCATTGTAGATATAGAAGCAGATGCCTAAAAGGGAGATTTCTACAGCTGAGCTAGTTATTCTAAGCTTCCTTATAGTCATTTTTTAGGCACTTTGCAGGCTATGATTCTGCTAATCTATTTTGACACATACTTTTAAAGAATGTGAATCAAGGGAAAGCACCTATTTCTCTTGGTTTACTACTAAAAAGAGCCCAGAACAGTTAGCTGAGTTCTATGATGCAGACCTCAAGATTTAGTAATTTGAATCTTATCATAAAGTCTACAATAACTTATTTCTCTAAAATTTCTTCGTCAACCAGAACACTGAGAAGGATCTGTATTTTTCTACTGCACTTTATGTGGGTTGTTCGAAAAGGAGGTGGAATTGTCCTTCATCCTCCGAAACAGGATGGTGTCCCCCCACCCCAAACCCAGAAATCTGGAGTTCTGACACACATGGGTCCAGGATTTCCATATGGTTTACCAGTTTTTATGCCACTGCTGCCTGCCTTTATATCACCTTCATGGGAAGACACTTTGTCTTGGTCTTCAGAATCATACTTGTGAATCCAGTCAGATTATGTCCCAGATAATATGTCCCAGAAAGTGACAGGCAGTCACAGTCTTTTTCTGACTGAGCCCAAATCCTCACTGACCATCAAAGAGATCAGTACGTGATTCTCTATGCTCAGCATCTCCAGAAATGGAGCACAAAAAAAGCGTGCCTAACTATCAGAGCTCACAGTCAGGTTTAAAATGTTGGCCAGCCACGATACATAGACATATTCAAAGAGTTCCCCTCCTCCAACTTTTTTGTGGGATGCCTCAACAAAGCATGTACTTCAGAGGGGAAACTCCTACTTCTAAATACCTGACACATTGTTTTGTGTTGCAGATATTGTGGGCATTCAGACACAGCTTATGTTTAAGTTTAAAAGTTTATTTTAACTTTTAAACTTTTAGTCAAATCACCAAAACAGAGATGAAAAACTCACCAGGTGAGAATATTCCATCTCCATCTTTGTTTGACCATCCAATAATCTCTCTCATCTTCCGAAGTGTTATTTGTTCCATGAGGACAAAAACAGGGGCAATTTCATAGGTAAACCTGCATGGATAAAGCAAACAAAACCAACCAAACAAGATCAAATACAGATTCTAAAAACACAAAATAAATTCCTAGTCTATGATTCTTTGTGAAAATGCTTAAGATTCCTAAAAGTTCTCCTACAAATTGAGGTTCTAATATTGCAACCTTTACCTAAGCAAAAATCCTCAGGAAGACAATACTGGAGATATCAGTCGATAAAACCTGCAGTATTAGCTCTTCTGCAACTTTCTGTGTAACCAACATAAGACCTAACGCTCACCATCATAGTGGTGCTGACTGCTGTACAAGTTTGTACAGTAAAATATTTGTTTCTGAAGTGCCAATTTCACACTTGTGGAATAACATATTGCCAAATCCTTATGAAAACAGTGAACTTCACTGAGCTAAACACAACCATAATTAGAAGTATTGAGCCAGGGCTTCAAAGTCTAAATACAATTAGTTATGTGGATTTATTCTGTTGATGATCTCCAAGGACAACTTATTTCTACAATACCATGTGATCAATAACTGTCGAGAGTAATTATAAATGATGATTTTCTAATTACCAATTACAAAAAAACAAATCAGCAGTCAACTATTGTATCCACTTAACGAGGGCAAAAAACATTGCATAGTCTGGTATGCCCTGATGTCACAAGCAGATATGTGGATGGAAAGTGACAGCCATACAACCGCTTTTGGTGATCAAGGTACATGGATAAATTGCTACTGCTGTAAACAAACACAGCTTACTGTGTACGGAAAAAAAAAAAAAAAGTAAAAAAGGAGGGGGGAAAAGGAAGCTGAAAAAAAAAGGTCAACCCATGATTTCCAAAAGAATCTTTAAGAATATGACAACCTGACACTTTGGCTCCGACTGATGTCTTCCACTGGAATAATCTTGCCAAAATGTATGTGTTGTCTCTCTAATACTAAAATGACATCTTGAGAATAGGTATGGCAAACTTGAAGGAGACGTGGTATGAAGGGAACATGTGTCCTAAAAGCTCGTCTTTTATTTACAGCTACACTGGTTAGCTAAAACATTAATGTTTTCTAGAATCCTTATGTGTCCTTAGTCCATCAGAGAAACACTACCACTATTTTTAAAACATTTCTTTAAGATTAAACAGCATTTGTAATTTAATTGTAATTGCTATTTTCAGAAGCCAAAATACTCCTTATTTCGCTTTTATTATCATTAGAACTGCCAGAGACAGACAGTTGAACACTGATCTGAAGTCGAGTGCTGCCAATATTTACTGAGAGAGAAAATTAATAAACCAGTTGGCATCTGCTAACATTGGGGATTTTGTTTTGTTTTAAGCACTACAAGTCTAGGACACATTCCAATCTTTATTTAGGCAGAATGACCAAATGAAGTCAACATGAACTCAGCAGTGTATAGATCACTGTAGTCTAATACAAGATATGCTTAAGTCTATGTGATTTTTTCCATCAGTTAATTTTGTCCCGAGATGTTTTACACTGATCCCTACATATTTCCCAGAAGACTTAAAGGCTTGTACAAAAAAATATATAATGTTAGGGAAGTTTTTTGTATATAAATTATCCAGTGTTCATAAGGGGACTTCTGAATATACTTAAACCCAAATAAAATAACACTTATTTATTTTACTATGTAATTATTTTCTGAGTCTCCAAAGACTGACAAAGAAATAAAAGATGACTGCAGATGATTATAAATGATAAGGCCAATGCAGCTATATTAGATGTTGGCTAAGATTTTTAAAATCACATCTTGCTAAAGTTCACTTATTTGTTTCATACTGAAATGACTGAAAATTTCAGTTAAACATAGAAAATGTGTTTGGCTTGGAAGGAACTGTTTGACTTTAGAACCAATCTCCCGACAAAAAGTGCTGGTTAGATTTTTTTGTACAGTTAAAACCTTTATAGGTATTTCTGTGAGTTAACTAAAAGAGCCATGAGTCTCAGGTCTTTACGAAACAGAATAAATGAATGGGGTTTTTTTTGTAGTGGCCAGTGCTGGCTTAATTCTGTTGTCACCTAAAGGCCTAATCATTTTATCAGGCCAAATCATTCTAGCTATATGTTCTCCTGTTTGCCACTATGTAAAAAGCATTCTGAAAATAAACATAAAGCATTTTACAGCATTTTTCTATGTTACATCTTCATAAGCACAAATGCATAATACTGAAAATACCAATATAACTCTCTTGTCTCAGCTAACAGTGGGCATAAAGAGAATTTCCAGATAATACTACTGTTTTCTAACTTCATCTGACTGATGCATGGTGAGCAAATGCCTTGCACTATAGATTCCTGGAGCTGGATGAATAATGGCAACTTCTGAAATTTCCACCCTGAAGGTCTTATGATTAGTGATTGAGCTATGAATAGCACATTGATACATTATTTCCAAGTCAATGTGGGAAGCTTATTATGTTTAATTGAATATATTACCTTCACAGTGACATTTAAGTAACATTTCCTAATGACAATTTAAAATATTAAGTAAGTACAGATGTTTTGATTACTCAAAACTCATTTGTAGAAGAAAACATATTTTGTAATTGTTCTTAAATATTTTAAGTATTGTTTATAGGTGGAAAAGAAAAAAAATGGCAAATGGAAAGCATTCCCTACAATAATCCAGTGTTACTGCCGCTTGTGAATTACACGCTTGTGTAGCTGAACTAGAACAGTTTCTAGGTAAAGGTCAGAACACTGCTCAAAACAAATAGTACGCTCCCCAGAGCTCACAGAGATGATTTGGCTATTTTGAATAACCTTCTCTGTCAGTTCTTTGAATTGTATTTTACAAACATCTTGCTTTAACCCTACTTGCAACTACTGTGTTATTTGAAAGCATATCATCTTGACCTTGGTTTGCTGAAAAAGAAGAGTGTGATGTATTATTTTGCATTTGCTAAACCTCATACAAGCAAATACATACTCAATTTTCATGCTTGCAGAAGTATTTTCAAGATATGATCTTGATCATAGATGGATCGGAAACTAGCTTTACAGAACTAGCTATTTAATAATTTATTTTTAAAACGAAAGGCAAAAGCAACCTCATTTTAAAGAGTTACTCTTTCAGAACTGAATGAGTGCGATGTTCTTAATAATGATGGCAATATTTCATAATACTATCACAGTTTGCCACAGAGCTGAATTCTATTCTGTCCTATCATATTTGTGCAATTTCGCTGATTATAAAAGGATAACTAAGCTAGGATAACAAAGTTAGCCAAAGGAAAAGAGGAAAAGTGACTCTCTGAAGTATGTTTTTGTCACAGAGGAACAATATTTAAGCAATTTCTTCTTTTAGAAATGTAATCAGATTTGTTTTCACTTTTAAATTGAGGTGTTTAAAAGAAAAAAAGAAGGCACTTTGCAATATTTGTTTTATGATTAAAATATATGTTGCTGGGTTTTCTTCCCAATCAGCTTTTAAATCTGAATGTCTCATACGAATTTTTAGCAAACAGAGAATTAATTGAGAAGACAATTACTACAAAGAGCAGGCTGGTTTTGGCTGGAGCACGTTATGTGTTTTTCTTTATTGCTAATCTCACAGAACAGGCACAGCTTGTAATCTACATAGAGCTATTAGTAATCAGCTATACTTGATGAACCATTTGCTCATGGATATGCCAGTGAAAATACTGTTCACTTTCTAATCTGCAGATACATTTCCTGTGTTCTGCCAATTAACAACAAACTACCCAAAACCGGGGTAGCTTTAGAGTTAAAACAAAACCAGAAGGCAGTCTGTTACCTGCCAAGTATTTAGGCTGCCATCACTTTTTTGAGCATATACAAATCAATATATAAATAAAAACTGGCTAGAAGGCTTTTTGGTTTGGTGGTTTGTTTTGGGGTTTTTTTCTTCATTAATTACACTCTTTATTGCAAAAAATTGAACATAATACCTTAATTTTACATCTAGCTTTCATTAATTTTGAGGTCAAGAAAAATTAGGAAAAGTTTCCTCATTGAAATGTTCTAGATGTAAAATTTTACCTTTTTTTTATACTTCCATTTATTTATTTACACACAACTTTAATAAATCTTAGACCAATTCCTTCATTGTCATAAAATTAATTTTCAATGTTACATTGTTAGAGACACCCAGAAGCCACTTCTTTACCAGCACATGAACAGGAGAAGGTGGTGCCCCAAGCCTGCTATCTTTGAAGTCAACAGGAGACAAGACAACAAAGTTGTACATATTTTGTATTCTAGTGTTAATATATGGATAGCTGCAGAATTACTCAATCTAGAGACAAAGCTTAAAATAAATTTTTTTTTTAAAAAAGAAAACATAAAGAAGATTGGTCCAAGAGAAGAAAAATAATTTCATGCTATATTAGAATCAGCATGTTTTACTTACCATGTGCTCTGGGATATTTGCATTTCTATTTATCAGAAATGTAAAACTGTTCAGCTTTATATAACTATTTTCACTGTATTACTGTCACATTAAGAAAAATATGAGATGCTTTTATTGAAGAGGCAGCAATCAGCATTTAAAGAAGAAAACTATTCACATCTATGACAACATGCATCTACTTGATAGACGGCAGCCCCTCTAAGCACCAGTCACAGACCCTGACGACAAGCCACTGCTTACATGTTTGTGTTAGCAGTTGATGTCAGCCACTCTCCAGCCAAGCCAATGATGTCCAGGCCTGTGGACAACTGATTGAAAAAGCGAGGATGACCTGGAAGAAGAATTGAGAGCAACTTAGAACAACTCCACCGGTATCTCTCAGGTTTCCATTTTAAACCGCCCAACTATTCTTACACAAATCATAGTTTTGCACTCATAACACCCTTGCAGCTAAGTTTTCAAAACAAGTCCTGTTTATGTGGAGACCGCTAAGCAACATTCACGGATGTCTTATTACCAACTTGAAAACCCGCTTCGGAGGCAGCTCCTATATGGAGCGTTTAAATTAAAAGAGGGAACCTCAGAGCCGATCGCGCCTGTAAAACACCTCCGGAACCTGTGTAAGGGCTCGGGCTAACCCACTTCCAGGGCCGCCCCCACGACCTCCGCCGTGCTGTGAATTCGGGGCGGGGGGGTGGTACTTGGCAGTAACAACCTGCAGGTGCTGGGGTCATTTGCATTTGAATGGTGAAAGAGAGAATGGCTCGTCCGCTTGTAATGAGGCCGTAGTGTTAAGGGAGCGGTGTAGAGGAGCCCGTTACTGAGCTGCACGGCCACGGGAGCGGCGTTCCGCGGGGTCCCTGTGGGAAATGCCCCAGTGCGGCGGGACCCGCTGAGAGCCCCCCCCAGAGCCCCTCCGCACGGGCGTTTCCCCCACGTGGTTTAAAAGCTAGGATTCACCGCAAAGAGAGGCTTTGCTATCAGACCGAAGTCAATCATATTCTCCTATTTCAGCCAAAATTGTTTTAACAACTTTTATAAGCAATAAGCCCGACTATTGGGGGTCTACTTTTCTAGCATGAAGAGATGAAATTCCTAACAAATGATGACGGACTTTGAGGGGAGGGGGAAGGTGTCATGATTTAACCCTTATCTCTGCTGTCGTGGGAAAGGACACGCAGATAACACACTGAGGACAGCTCAGCCCGTTCGGCACTCGACGCCTGGAGGGACCCTGTCACGTCGCGTTCGGCTCAACACTGGGAACATCAGCATCTTTTGACATAAAGAAATAAATGAAACCTCTGCGATTCTACTCCGAGCGATGTCAGCGGGAACCTTTTGGAGGCGTGAGCCTGCCGGCAGTGCCGCGCCTCGACACATCCTGAAGCGGAGGCTGCCGCGGAAATTGGGGGAACACTGAGGCGAAGCGACTGGGCTGCTCCCGCCCCAGGGAGTCAAGCGGCTCAGAGTTAAAGCCCAGAAATATCACCACGGTTTAGCTATTTGCTTTGCAAATCAGCACTTCTTCCCCTTGCCATGACACACAGTTTGGGAAGTTATTTTAAGAGACATTTCGCTGACCTCCCAAAGCTGTCACCGAGCCTGCACTCTCCTGAAGCTGAGCTGCAGATTCAGCTCCGCTGGCTTTAAAGGGAGCTTCGCCTGGGGAGAGAACGTGAGCCCTTGGGGCCCGGGAAACCAGAGCGTGTGTCCTGGGTCGTCACACGGCCCGAGCAGCTCTTCTTTAAAGCTGCATCGGGTGCTGCTTTGAACAGAGCTTGTGCCTGATCGGATACCTGCATCTCAGCTCCCGGGGACAGGTCCTGCCGGTCCCGCAAAAGCTCCAGGGGAGGTGAGGGTGAGGGGAAGAGATTGTTCCACGTCCCGGCGCAATCAATACCTGAATAACGACGCAGGCACACAGGCCGCGGTGACTCTGGCTTTGCTGCTGGCCACCTGCTCAACGACCACGGGTCTGGGAGCGAAATACGGTCCCTTTGATTAAGGGTACTAAATCAAAATATGCCCGTGACACTCTTGAATAAATCAAACCACCATGTAAATGGGAAAAGACAGGAAGCTATCTGCCACATTAGTTGTCAAGATTTTGTTCCTTCAGTGCGCTGCGTTGGTTTTTCACAGCTGCATAACAACAGTGCAGAAAGCAGCGCCCCGTCGTTCAGGAGCCATTGCTCGCAGCTGCCTACCCAGAGACTGCCAGACAAAAGCCTCCCCCTGCGAGCTCCCGCCGCTTCAGCCCCACGGGAAGACCGCCGCCCGTCATGGCAGCAGTGCCGAGCCGTGCCGCGCTGAAGAGGGCAGCTCGCCGGGTAGAGCTCAGCAGCCCTGAAATGCTGGAGCACGACTGGGGAGGGGAGACACGGCCTCCGCTCCGGTCCTGTTCCTCACCTGCTTGGGTACGTACAGCGGTCAGGGCTTGTTGCCAGCCGAGCTTTCTGCTGACAGAAATGTAAAACATTTCAGGCCAAACAGCCTGAAAAAGCAAAGGCTTTGCTTTAGAGCCTGGCCACAGCTCACCCAGTAAACGAAGTATAAACGGGCATTTCTATCTGAATCAGAGGGACCTGGACAGGCAGGGCTCCTGGGTAATGGGCTGAAATCCACAGGGTTCCTTTACTGAGGATTCCTAGAATTTCAGTCTCTTTTTCATTAAACGTCTGGTGAACATAAAGAAGAAAAACTGCAAATTCAGTGTCATTTATGCCCTCATTTACCTAATGATATTGCTCCCTGGAGATACAGCTCGCATTTCATCAAGTGAAAGAGATTATGTCCTAAAAACTTGTTTCTAGGCACTGCAAACAGCACTGAGCCCTACCCGTCGGGGACAGGTGGAGCATCAATAACTGAAGTTTCTGAGCAGAGACACTTCCAGCGCCTGCAGACAGCCCTGGAGCTGAGCCTCCAGAGAGGCAGAGGTGAGGGTGTGGGCTTACCTCCATGGGCTCAACCCCCCTCCCTTCACCCTGGGCCAGAGAAAAGCCCCAGGAGGGACTCTCTGGAGTAGTGTGTGAGAACCTACCTGTCCTCACTCCGTATTTCAGCGTGTCCCGGCAGTCCACCAGGATCTGCTCCAGGGACTCAGGGTTGTCTGAGAGCTCCAGGTTGAAGCCCTCCATGCCCTCCAGGAGCTGGTGTGGGTGGTGGAAGTCCAGCACTTTGGTGGATCTGTCAAATGTCTTCCTCACGTAGTTGAGGAGGATGTCCACGACCTCCAGTAGGAACTGCATGGTCTGCTCCTCACCATTCTTGGCAGGCAGCAAATCTGCAGGGCAAACCAGATGTCAGCACCTGCTTTGGGACCGACAGGCAGAAATGAACCAGCCCCGGCCGCCCGCAGCTCTCCCAGGACCTGGAAGCCGCAGCCCCTGCACAGCCTGCCCGTAGCAGGACTGGCGGCTGGCTCCGGGCTGCCCTGCTCGCTCCCAAGTGAGTGAAACCCGTCGCTGCGCCCAGGGCTCCCAGCCCCTCTCACCCAGTGGGGAAGGGCGAGCCCAGGTCTCCCACAGGAACAGCGGGGGCACCTCTGAGGCACCCCGGCCAATCCCAGGGGCCAAGAGCACCCCCAAACCCCCACCTGCCCTTGCCCTGCAATGCTCCCCGCCCGACAACCCACAAAGGGATTGATTTCCCTTCCCCACCCTCCTCATCAATGGCACCGTACCAGCAATCACAGACCATTTCATTGCTATTTTACTGAGGAGAAAATAAAATATAAAATCACTCTCCTCCCAGAGGCTGGATCAGAAGTGACCTCGGAGGAACCGCTGGAGCTGAGCTGCAGAGGATCAGCCCAAAGTGCGCAAAATTGCATTTCAAGAAACTTGTACGCATCGCCAGCGCGGCTCTCAGCAACATAGACACAGAGAGCTTCCTTCAAAAACAACCAGGCAAAAGCACGGTCTGAACGTGGCTGCACTTCCACGGGAGGCGAGGACAGACTACTAAAGGGCGTGCCTGAGCTAGAGCAAGCAGAAGCTGTAAAGAGCATTTACCTCTGGCATACAAATTGGAGAAGTCTGTCTCGGTGCGCCGGAACCTGGATTCCTTCTCGCTGTTCTCGCACGCCAGCAGGCTCTTGGAGGACTGCCTTTCCTTCAGGGAGCTGACTATCCGGCCCTTGTCTTCCAGACTGTTGGTCCTTTGCAGGAACCCTACATTGTTATTGCAAGGTGCACAGGTCAGAGCTTTCTCGCTTCCCAACATGTTTAGAAATATCTAAAGCAGCTCTCTAGACAACAGTTCAAAGCAGTGCTGGCTCTGGATCTGACTAATGAGGTCAGGAATAAGAGTATTTATGGGGATTATTTGCCTCCAGGAGGGAGAGCTCAAAATGCCATCAACTGCAAAAACCCAGCCATGCAAAAAACAAATTCTCGTCATTTAGTGTAGTGGTAAATTCTTATTAAGTCGATCAGACAGATTCCACTTCAGTAATCAGCCGCTGGAAGAGAGTTCAGGATGAGTCAATGCTATTTCAGCCTGCAGGCGAAGTTTATGGACCTAGCAGACAGGGGCAATGATGTATGATTAAAATCAGGGCCACTTTCAGTTCCCCTCGTGGTGCTCTCACGCACAAAAGGCATGAGAACAAGCAGCCATTCTGGAGCAGCCGTCCTGAGAGCACCAGAGCTCTAAGGACACCGGTAGCACTCATCAACCCCACCTTTCTGTTATCAGTAGGTACCAGCACATGTCCAGGAGATGCGGATTTTCCACCTGAAAAGATGCTTTGATACTAACACTAATCATCCCCCATCTATCCAGGAGCTCCACTCTCACTGGAGACGCAGCCCTGGCGCCCAGGACACGATCCCAATTGCTGTTATGTGCAACAGAAGTCATAAATCCTCTCGCTGCAAGAGGTGGGCGGTGGGCGCCACTCAGGGCCCGCGGCGAGTAACGAGACTTGTCTACTTTAACAAAGCAGAGAGAACAATGAATTTTCAGGATTTGATCTACTAAATCCATGCCCGCTAAAGCACGCATAGTGTTGGGCTTTTCGTTATTAACGAAGGCAACGGACTTTGATCTCCCAGGCTGCAGCGAGCATGCCTGTATGTTTGGAGCAGACAGTACGGTGCCTTTTTTTTTTTTTTTTTTTAAACAAGTAACCATTGAAACCAAAGCACGTCGCGGCTGGGGATGTCCGCTAGAGAGGAGGAATTTGCAGGGAGGAAAACCAACGCTGTAATTTCGCTCCTCCACGTCCCCTGATGCCGCTTGTCTCCAACGCCCTCCGCTTTCCGGCCGCCCACAGCCCCGACAGCGAACCGTGACTGCGGGCTCATCCCGCCGGGCGCTCACCGCCGGCCCGCCCGGGTCCCCTGTAGCTTCCTCAGGCCCTGGGGGCCGCATCTTCGTGCGGAGAAAAGGGAGCAACACTGAGCCGCTGGCCGAATGGCTCCCCGCACGGTACCTGAGCCTCGGACCCTTCTGCCCGTTCCCTCAA